AATGTATAGCTGATGCCTTCCCACAGAAGAATGCAATCCAGCAAGGAGGTATTCCTGGCATGTCACTACACATTCTCAATTAGAAGGAACATCAGCTCTCCCTGTCATGACCACGCTGAAAGACAAGATAGAAAACCACCACCCATCTCATCCCAAGCCAGCAGCACCCAGTTTGTCTGCTTGGCGCAATAAGGGCAACCCTTTCCTCCTCACATGAGCTCCCTTTATTGCTCTTAAAGACCTCTCAGCTCCTCTTTTTGGGAGGAATCCAAATTCGGACAAAAAGACAAACAAAAGAGAAATAATAAAAAATAGGAAACGTATCACACACAACCATTTGGCAGCTTGGACCCTGTGTTTACCTGCCCAATTGTCAATCCCCCTTTCCATGGGGGTATATCAGCATCATGTACCCAGCAGCCCCACCAGTGTGGACCCCTCAAGCCTCCAGGCTCCAGCTTCCATGCCAGCTTCTCTAATGTGACACTGCTTTGGTTGGAAGTTGCACTGGGGCGGGCAGTTATGACTCAGGGTTACAGCTCAGAAGCATTACCCCTGGGGCACTGGGATGTTAGCAGAATACACCCCAGTTTTCATAACTAACCCTTCTTGACCTCAGCCCCCTTTACTCCATATTGGTTTTCAATACACAACTTCATAATTCAGAAAATGAAAAGAGTTTTCTTTAAATGGGTCAAATTTATTGAAGAAAAGCATCCACACAAGGCAACATCTCCCTAAAGGAGTCATCTCTGAAGGACATGCTGCAGATCAGAAATTCAAGTTAAAAATACAGACAATACAAACCACCTCCGAGAGCAGCTTTTTCACGCATGTGAGTAAACCACCCATAGACACCGTTAACTTTAGGAGGAAACAGCAGAACCAAACAAACCATTGATGCAAAACCTAAAAAAAAAAAACCAAAAAAACAGAAAACACCTGGTTCAACTAAATATATGCAGTCTGCAATTGGATGCCCTCCATGAACACCGAGAATGGCACAGAATGACAGAATAGGTAAGGCTGGAAGGGACCACACGGCCATACACACCATGCAGGCTGCAAAGGAGACTGCACAGCTCCACAGCGATGCTGTGCTCTCTCCAGACACAGACGTGTCACCATGGAACATGGCACGCTGCCGGCTGGCACAGACAACCCCAGCAGCTGCTGATGAAAAGCAGCTGGATCTCAAAGAGAACTCTGCAAGAAGCTGAAGGGAGACCAGATTGAACAATGTCATAATTTTTCTCCCCAGTTTTATATTAGTGGCTCTGTGAGGACAGAACACCTCAAAACCTTTGTTCAAGTGCCTGGGTGCAAGGATGGAGCATGCAGAGAGCACAGAGCCCAGCCTGCTGCTCCCTTCCCACCTTCCTATCCAAGCACCCCTGTACACACTCTGTCCCATGAAGCTACTTTAAAGAAGCAAAAAAGTCTGAAACAGGAGACAGCTCGAACAGATTTTTATCACCACATCCTGCATATATCAAGTGAAATCAGAAAGAGGGAGGTGCAGTCCACAAAATAAATAAGCAATTAAGCCTCACAGTGAAAGAGTCAACGTCTTGGCTTTGGGGAAGGGGGGGATGGCAGCTGGGGAGATTAGTGAAACTATCAATGAAATAAAGCAGGCCACCTGCAGGACAGGAGAGCACAGGTGAGAGTGGGGGGAGACCAGCCATCTGTGGCTACAGCTGAGCTGACAACAGCCAACAGACACATGTGCAGGTCCAAATCACACAACTTGGTTAAAAGTTCTGCTAGGCTGTAAATACAGGCTGGGTGTAGAACTCGACTGAGGCAGAATCAGAGTGGGATGGGCAGAGCAACTGCTCAGCACAGCTCCGCCTGCACTCAGCATCGCCAGGCTGGCCATGGAGGGTCCCGAATCCGCACCAGTTCCGAGCTCGGGCACTGTCCCCACTTGAGCAGCCAGCCCGTGCATTGCTACTGCACCAAAGATGAGGCAAAGCTCGGCCCAGGAGCCGTTCCAGGTGGATTGAAAGAGCCAGCCTCGTGTGGTACTGCTCGGGCAGGAGCTCACTCCGCTCGCCCAGCGCTCCTCACGCTGCCTCCACCACGGGGGCTTCAGCTGCGGCCACAGACCCGCTCTGGATCCCCGCTCTGGATCCCCGCACTGGATCCCCGCTCTGGATCCCCGCACTGGATCCCCACTCTGGATCCCCGCTCTGGATCCCCGCTCTGGATCCCCGCTCTGGATCAGCTGGGCTGCTGAGAGACCTCACAAATGCCAACCAGGGCTCCCACCTCCCCAGCAGGTCAGCAGAGCCACAGCCCATCCTTTTCTTTCTGTATCCTGGCCTCCGGGCTTTCCTTTTTTCGCCTCTTTGCAAGGTCGTTAGGCTTGACAAAGTTATCTTCTGCAGTTGGACCGAACTGCTTTTTCTCAGGGTTGACCAACTTGTGTCATGCAAATTACCCAGGGTGGAGGTAAACCAAGAAAAGGGGCATTCAGATGGTTCCTTTTATGTTTCACAAATCATTTGCATCCTTATTCTCAGCCTTTAGGGCAACTCTCAGTTGATTCAACACCTGCTTTTAGCTGCCGGGAAGCACATAACAAACCTTCTCCATACGCCCCCAATTCACACCCCTTCCGAGCACTTAACTGCTGTCACTGAGGCTTGCAAAACCCCCCTCACTTCAGGCAGGCTGCTCATTTCATATTGGTCAAGGTGGAGATGACAACATTCTCCTGCTACCCACGTCCCAGAATCCCAAAGCATCCCAGCTCAAAGAAATCTCTAACTCAAAGGAAGCAGAGAGCCTCACAGCAGACCATCAACTTCGTGGCTTTGCATTCCATGAGCCCTGAATATCCTTGCTAATATCCACATTGTTAGCCCCAGCTTCAAGAAGAATGGAGTGACAGAAAAAGAAAGCCAGATGGTGCGAACTTAAATGTGAAAAACCCAGAGAGACGTCCAGCAGCCAAGTAAAAATGAGGCTGTTCCCTGGAATCACTGATACTGCAAAAGTCATCCCCCTTCTTAGATACAGCCCTTGCATCTCCCATTAAATTGTTCATCCTTAACATCAATTCTCACAACTCCAAAGAATCAGTTTATTCCTGCTCTCTGGATGGAGAATCAAGGCATGGATTCAGAGCAAAGAGACCAGTGGCAGAAGCAAGCATCAAATACAAGGGCACCGTGAGTCCCTGCAACATCTTCTGGTCCCCAAGGCAGACAGACAGAAGCAGGAGAGGTATGTGTCAGGCTCAGGCAAAAGGCAGTAACCACATCATTCCACTGTGACAGTTTCCCTTGCTATAAAAAGGAGAGAATCCTCTCTCCAGGGTGGCAATGAAACCACTCCAATTATCAGTAATACAGAAAAGCTAACAGTAAATTGCAGAAAAAACTAAATAAATTAAGAATAACACACACACATATATTTCCTTTGCCCACTTACAACTAAACAAGAGTGATGTACTACAGCAAATTATATTTGTTCTTTGACTTAAAGGTGACAATCTTGACAGTGGACCATCATCATTAATCCCTATTTCTGAACAGACTGCCCTCAAGAGAATAAACATATTGAGGGCATCAGCAGAAACATAAGCATACAAAAAATCTTCCAGAGTTACCTCCGCTTAAGTACAACACCTTGTACATCTAAATTTCAACTGGTGTCAGTATTTATCCTCACTGCAGTAGGGATGACCCAACACAGGCTGAGTACTCTGCAAAATGAAGCCAAAAACATCTCCAAGAACTAGGAGGGGAAGCAGAGGGGGCGGCCTAGCAAAGACAGCAGATGTCTGTGCAGGATTTCCCCTGGCTGAGAGATGCAGGATGTGCACAAAAGCTCTGGATGGAGATTCTAATCAACAGAGAGCTGGCATGCAGGTCCCAGTTCTTCACAGAACCAGACCTGGGGGATTCTGCACCTTAGCCAAGGTATCAGGATGTGGATGCTCCCTCTACAGGTGTCAGGTTCCCATGGGGAGATGGCAAGCATTGTTCCAAACCTTCCTGTGGCTGAAAAGCCACAAGCCACATCACTCAAAAAGCCAAAGAGCAGAGCAGCTCCAGGGCTGGTTCCCAGGAGGTTACAGTGCAGCCCAAGCAGCTTCACTGGGTCTTAGTGCAGCGGCTCCTGGGCTGGAATAAACTCCTGAGGCTGGAATCTCTTGCTGATTCTCACTGGGGCTGCAACAGCCAGTGTGAGATGACCCAGTTGGACTGAAACCTTCTCAGCAATCATACCCTATCCTTCAGGAATGTACGTATGCTGCCAGTCAGGCTGTATAAATGCCGAGAGCAGGCTCAGACAAGTGGCTCACAGATTTAAGCTGTGTCCAAACCTTGAAGGAAATTTAAGGGCAGCTTAGGAGAGGCCAAGCTTTCATGCAGTGGCTTTGGACACCTGAAGCCACAGGCAAGCACCCTGAACTCCAGTCCTCCTACACAGGGTACAGACATTACAGATGCCTTGCAGACCCTACAACCAAATAAGCTGCCCCAGCTGTGCTGACAGTGCAGAGAAACAGGTATTGTAGGGAAGGATTCAATCCATTCAGATCCCTACAGCAGGTCAGGGTCAGGCACTTCCTAAAAATGTCCATTTCCCTCAGCAACTGTAAAAGGAGGCTGGGGGGGAGGGGCTGGATCAGTAGCAGGTAATGGCAGCAGAGTTCTCTAAACCCAGATGAGTAAAGTCCCCTGCTGTGAAGCCCAAATAGAGCCAGAAACAAGAACTGTGTGATGCACAAACATCAACATATTCCAGATAGACCAACTGTCTATCTGGACATATTCCAGATAGTCTCCAGCCCTTCTGAGACTCCCAAGCACAACAGCAGTCTACAATCCTCCCATCAGCCCTGAAGAGGCAAAATACAGCAAAACCTGTACCAAAAGGAAATCTGGAAGATCAACAGAAGAGGTCTCACACATAGGGTGCAGGGAAGACCTGGAGGGCTTCTATCTCCAGGCTTATGAGTACTGAAAGAGATCACCACTCACCTCATTTCCCAGGAAACCCTGGCAGGATCTGACCTCCCTTTGACACACTCTTCTCCTTTTTGCAGTCAACTGAGACCTGTATGACATTACAACAAAAGAAATGTCAGCAAGCTCAATCTTGTCCCCTCCCTCCAACCAAAAAACTTCAATTCACTTAATTTTACAACATAAGGCTGCAATGGAAACCAGTTATATATAAATTACAGCTTATATTAATAGTAGCTTATGTATGCATTTAAATATTTATAATATTCATATATCTATTTAATAAATATTGTCTATTTAAATATATACATACATACATACATATATATAAATGTATAAATTGGTGAAGGGACAGGGCCTCATGCAAGTGGCTGAAGCAGCAGCACATTCCTCTGCAGCCACCAAAGTTCAGGAATCAATGATGCAGCCCTACAGCCTGTCCCATGCTGGACTCCCACAATGACCAGCAACGTGGCATAAAGATGCATGTCAGGGTCCTCCTGAGATGTTCACTGCCAGCTCCAGAGCAATCCCTCAAATACTCCTAAGGAGTAATGGGGGGAAATACAGACAGGAGTGACGGGGTGGCCCAGAGCTGTGAGAAAAAGGAATGGAGGCAGCAGACTCCTGCTCCATAACCCAGAGCATCCCAGTGTCATCACAGAGAGGATGTCAGCTTTTCCTCATGGTGGCCTCCAGACATTGCTGACCCCTCTCACTACAGCCCAATGGTCACACACGTCAGCCAGGTGGACATCAGGGTGTGTTCAGGTTCTCAGTGCTCTGCTGGGTTGTGGTCCTCACAGACTGTTTTCTCTCACCATCCAGGATCCCATCCTCTCCTTCTCAGGCCACAGAGCCCTTGTTGGCACAGCCATAAATCACACAGCCATATATCACACAGGCTGCTGGCAGTGCAAGTGTGAGGCAGAGGAGGGAAGGGGACCGGTATCACCATCAAAATCTCCTCTTTGCTCAGCCTACTTAGACTCAGCCACATTTGCACTGCTAAATTTGGGAGAGTATGAGAAGCATTCCCTCTGTAATGGGAGGTGGGGGAGGGACAAGGCAGCTTCTGGCCTTCTTTAACTCCTGCCAAGTGCTCTGCAATTCAAAGTCCATGTCAGGGAAGCTACCCCTGGCTGCACAACAATAGCCTAGACCCAGCAAACCTGGAGATCAGTACCTTAACCCCTTCCAGTCAGCATATGAGCCTGCCAATTTTAAGCAAATGATTGAGTCAGGCTTTAGGAAACAGATCCCACTGAAACAGCAGTATCCAGGAGGTATGTGGAGGGAATTCTGGATACATCCACACATCAGCTTCAGACAGTAAGTTTGAAGGGATGTCCTGAAGGGATGCAGTGCTCAGTCTGGTACCAGCTAGCAGCAATCCTCACCTTCAAACTGATTTAAGAAGCTATGAATGACTATTTTTGGGTGCAAAACAGATTAACTACTCATGAAAGACAGCATCAATACCTGCAGCAGGAAGGGGTCACCATCCCTGCCAGCACCAAGAAGCATGATTACCCTTGACCTGCAGCACAGGCACCTATAAAGCTACCATCAGGCTTTGCTCTTGAGATCACAGGAACAATTAAACTTCTCTCTCCTTGTTGCTGGCAGGTACAGGAAGGAAACACAGGTTACAGTAACCTTTCTGGGCCTGTTCTCCATAAACACCATCAGCACCTGCACCCTTCTGCAGATGCCCAGAAAAATCTGGCCCTGGAAACACAATCCATGGAACATCTGGGAAGCGGGGGGGAGGGGCGCGCGCAAATGTCTTGCTGCCCACACCCAACAAATAAACATTTTAATTAATACCAGAGAGTGCCAAGTCCAGTGGTGTACATGGTGAGCCAGAAATTTTCCTCAGCATCCACACTGAGACATTGGAGGGAGCTTTTGAGGAATCCAGGCATGAGCCTGGGCAAGGGCCGGAGACATTTCCCAAGCAATTCACACACGCAGAAAAAGAATGAATAAATAAATAAACAACCTAGGCTTGTTTTCTGCAGAATTGGGCATCAAACGTTCTGACATCAAGAAGGATGATTAAAGACAGCTGAGGTGCAGGAAAGATTAAAAGAACTAAATATGCCCAACCTGGCTAAGCAATGAGTAAGAGGAGACGTGATAAAAGACTCCAGGCATCTGAATGGAGGGAGTGGTGTGGCATTAAAGGACTGAATAAAATATCCTTCTGAGAAATGGATCCATCAACGATCTCTCAAGAGATAAGGTACAAGCCTCATTTTTTAGGCATTTATAAAACCGGTCGCCAGAACTGAGGTTTTTGAGGAGAAATCCACATTGCCCCGAAGGGAAAATACACCAAAGCTTTATATCTCTGCCATGGAGTGCTGCAAACAAGAACCTCAATGCCACCAGGGAGCACAGAAAACCTGGAACAGGGCAAGCATTTCATACCACCTCAAGAAGCAGAAATATGCCTTTTCACTGTAAAATTAAAATTTATGAACATATTTGATTTTTCACTTTTATTCAGCAGCCTTAATCCATAATGTCTCAGGGTTAGGCGAAAATAAAGAACAAAAAATAAAAAGGAAATAACCACCAACCTATTACACAGGTCTAGGGATCTAACAAGCACTAGTTTTTTTTTTCCCCACAATAAATAAAGATACATGGCATGGTACCAAGGAAGGAAGAGCCTGGACTGAGCTGGGCAGTGGTGTCCCTGACAACTGCCAGCCCAGCAGCTCTCTAGACACAGCCAGACACAGAACACACATGGGCAAAGTGACAAAATCCTGGGAAGTTTTTCAATTCTTGGCTCTGATGAGATCATACCCTTCAGTCAAAGTACCCTCTGACCTTCTGAAACCCAGGGGCCTGATACACCTTATAAAGATCAGAAATGAGTCCTGAGGCCTGAGAAAACCACCCAGGAGGAGAGATGAACTCACTATCAACTCTGTGAAGCCAAAATAGTGAATTCTGTGTAATTTCACACCATGTCCTGCTATATGAGGGTCATCTGAACATTCCCCCCTGGCACAGAGCGGTGCACCCTAGGGAAGGAGCTTGACCAGGCCAAAACTATTTACTGAAAGCAGACATATGCATGGTGAGGCTTTACCAACACCAGCTTATCAGTTCATCAGATGTGCCTAGGGACTCCAGCTGACCCCAGAATGTTCTTTCGGGTGCTTCTGCCCCAGTATTGCTGATGCAACTCAGCCACTGCGGGTAGGACATACAAAGCTCAGTGGTATACCAGATTTGGGTACTTAGAGACTTCTTCCCCAGTTGGGAAAAGCCAGAATTTGTCAGTGGTGTAATTTTAAATCACTGTTAAATTTACACAAGGGACAAGTAAGTATCCTGTCCCAGCTGCCCCCGACCCCCTGACCTAGTGAGCTATGGCAGAGTAGTTGAATCTAAGAGGAAACTAGATAGGAAAAAACACAGAAGGTGAGTAAGTTTCTTCTAATTAATTCCCTAAACCAGTTCAGTGGGGCTCAGGCAAGTACTAGAAATCTTTACCCTTTTGGCATGAGTGAGATCAGTGGAACTGCAACATGTGACTGCAATCCAAGGCAACCTTTGTTTGCAAAACCAAGACTGGATCTTTTAAATTTTATTTTTTCCCCCTTTCCCACAGCAACTTCTTAAGTCTGCAACTGCCTTTCTGCATGGGAACAGGAGATCCACCATTAATTGACCACTGAGTTTTATTGCAGAGTTGAAACAGGATGCTCACTGAGGATTTTATTGTGCGTTTTTTAATAAGTGGGACATTTTAGTAGGCAGTGTATCTTCTTGTTTTATGCTTGCTTGTTTCTTTGGGAGGCTGAAGTACAAAACCAGACTGCCAGATTCATTTTATATACTGAAGAAACATGATTTTGTTCTACCCAATTGTAAAAAGAGAATATTAAAAGACCCGTTCAAAGTGGAGGAAACTCTGCTCCTTATGTTTGGAATGAAAAGGAAAAATTAAAACATCTAAGATAGATTATTATACCTTCCATCAAACCTTCATCTTCCCACAGAATCAACTGCTTCCATTACAGCAGCAACACTGATGCTGGAGATTACCTGGCTCAGGGTATCACTGTCATGCAGAATTAAAGGATTGCAGGCTGTATTTGGACAACTCCCTCCTTTCCTTTTGATGTTAATTTTGGTTATCCCTGCTCAGGCCATGACTACAGTTTTATTCTGCTCTCATGCTCTCAGACTGACAGCCAGACCTGGCAGCTGTCACAGCAGGTGTGGCAGGAGGGCACAGCCCCTCTCTGACCCACAACTCATCCTTCCAGGAACGACTTTGGAGTCTGGAGAAGGGAATGTAAAATTCTGACTTGTGCAATTCCCCCTACAGGGAGTGGAGTTGATTTTTTCCCTGTTCAGAGAGTTAATGAGAAACAACTCTCTCCCAAAACACAGATTAGTTTCTACTCAGAAGAGTGGACTGGGGAGATAGCCCATGTGTTTAAAAAAAAAATGCAGACAGCTCCCATAGGAAGAGGCCCAGGAGAAGCTGTGTGCTGGGAAGCAGGCAGCTCTCCATGTCCTTCCCAAGAAATACATTTCTCATCCTGACACATACATTTTGGTACACCCACTCCCACTCAGCAGAGCCTTTGCTGGCATCCATTTCCCCTGGATATTTTACAAATGCTTATCCAGAGCCTCCCATTCTCACTCTCTCATATAGAAATATATTAATATATTAATAGAACAGTAAGTGCTAATCTATTTTTGCTCCAGTTTTGAAAAGGTGTGAGAGAGAAATGAGTGTTTTTCATGTTTCAGAAAGATGGGCACCTCTGTCTGAGCTGTCAGCAGCTCCTCTGCTGAGGGAGAGGGGATGCACTTGCCCTATGCACAGAGCTCTTGGAGAGGGAATGCAGCAGGATGTAAGTGCCTGGACTGCTGCTGGTAGTCTGGAAAGAGTTACTGCTGGGCTGGGGTGAAGAATGCAAGTGACGCAGCAGCATCCTGCAGGGAGAGAAGGGAAAACGTAAAAAAAAAAATGTCTTACAAAACCTCCAGCTCTTTGGCTGAGGTTCTGGATGACTACACTTTTACTGTAAGTGTTTAGTAACTCAGACT